CTTTTATGGTATTTTTCTGTATAAGCTACCCCTGGGATGGACCCTAACATAAGAGAGACACTTGCACCAATATAAGAAACTATTTGAAGTAAGACTTCCATTTTGTTGTTGTTTTTTGTTTTGTTTTTTTTTTTGTTTTGTTTTTTTTTTTGTTTTTTGTTTTTCGAGACAGGGTTTCTCTGTGTAGCCCTGGCTGTCCTGGAACTCACTCGGTAGACCAGGCGGGCCTAGAACTCCGAAATCTGCCTGCCTCTGCCTCCCAAGTGCTGGGATTAAAGGCGTGCGCCACCACTGCCCGGCTAAGACTTCCATTTTGAGTAGCGGTCCAATAAAGTTTAAATTCCTAAGACCTCCCTGGGAACTGACATCCTACTTGGGAGAAAGAGACACGTACGTGGGTAACTGACATCCCAGTTGACAAATTAAGACTTGGATGTTAGACAAGTCCCTTCCTAGTAGACAAGTTAGGACATGAATATTAGACAAGGCAAGTCCCCTGCCACAGTTGAATACCCCAACCAATGGGAACAGAATAAATGTACAACAAAGTCATATACCTAGGGAAACACCCTAGAAAGGGGGGCAGGTTCTGATATTAAAGTCCTGTTCTCCAATTGTTTCTTGATTTGTCAGTAAAGAAGGCTGGGGGTCAATTGCTGGGCAGAAGGTACAGGCAGGACTTCAGGATCCCAAGAGGAAAAGAGATGGATCTTTCTGCCATGCTTTGGAGGAAGAAGAATGTAGCAACCATGTGAGGCCTTGGGGAGAGCTGGGGCCTGGGGCCTGTGGCAGGTGGCCAAGGATGTATGGCAGGGGCCAGGTGGGACTAGCCACACTGAAGTTTAGGGCAAGTGGAGAGACGGAGATAATAGATTGGCAAGGGCACACTTTTCCAGGTGGGAGATAATAACACCCAGCAATTGTGCCAAGGCAAATTGTAAAGGAATTCTCTCTCTCTCTCTCTCTCTCTCTCTCTCTCTCTCTCTCTCTCTCTGTGTGTGTGTGTGTGTGTGTGTGTGTGTCTTTTATCCTCGAATTCAAGGGTCTCTGGTGGGAGCTGGTACCATAGTGTCACCTCCTGGTGCTAAAGCCTGGTAGAACAAAGGGGAAGCTGGGAGGGGCTGGTTGCACAGTTGATCCAGGGCAAAGGTGGTAGCATTTAAAACTACATGCAACACTCCCCATTCCTAAATCCTGATTGGTGAAATAACTTGGCACAGATGTTTTTGGATTTGGGGCTTAGAAACCCTGCAGAATCTTAACTCAATGCCATGGTTCAGTTCTGAATCTGGACCATGACCCTGGTCAACCAGTCCTGGGATGTATGCTCAATAAATTATCCCTGTCTGATTGCGATTGGTGTTCATGTGGTTTGTGAGGTGATTCCTGGACCCCAACAATGCTAACCTATGACATATACCATATAGAGAGTATTAATACTGGGGAAACTCTGATAAAATCAGGTGGGGAGGGTTTGAAGGAGCGTCCACAAACCAGCCCACTCACTGCTAGGCAGATTATCTAACTCACTGTTTCTACAGCTCCATTTAGGTAATTTGACCTCACAGGGAAGGAGAATGTGGCTCAAAGGCCTGTTTCAAAGTATGTAGCCAGTAGGAGACAAAGCCAGCTTTGATCTTCAGACCATTGATAATCAATTGCTATACAAACCAGATACATTGCCACTCCTTCTCTGGTGACTATTTCTATATCTGCTCCAGACCTTAGGGTGACATCCTTGCAGGAGGCCACATTTTGCTAATGTGTCAAGAAGCAGGCCACAGATTGGACAACAAACAAAATGCATATCCTATAAGGAACCTTGTTACAAGGCACTGGAGACCTAAGAGATTGAGCCTGTCTATTGGGTCTAGCTGACACTGGACCTATTTGGATCAAGGGTCCTAGAGCCCCTGCCTCAAGTCAGAGAGAAGAACCATCTTCTAGTGCTCAAGGGTTCCATTAGTCTCTGGTCCAGGTAGTTTTGAATCCAGCATGGCACCTATACTGAATTTGGACCATATAAAAGAGGCCATGCCCAAAGGCCATGGAGCACAGCAGAGGCCCTTCAAGGCAGATACAAGGCATGTCCGAGTGTTCTATTTATTTGTTTATTTACTTATTTATTTAATGTCTGAGTTTTCTAGACCAACCAAGGGCAGGAGGAAGGCTGTTCCTTGGAGGTGTGTGATCAAGGACTAGAGCTATGGGAGGTGGTAAAATAGTACTTTCTAGGCCTGGGGGCTAGAGGACACCTGTCCTCTAGATGGTTCCCAGTCTAGTACAATTCTTTATTGCTGCTTAGCAGTAGAAACCTAATTATTGCTTTGCATGACACTAATTGCTCCTTTAAGAGCTCTACTGGTACAAAGTGGAGTGCTACGCAAATAACCCAAATCAAACTCAGAGAGTGCCGTGGTTTTTATGTTTTTGGAATCTCCAAATCTTGTGTTGAAATTTGGTCTATAATATGAGTTGATAGGACGTAGGTAGGGCCTGTGAGAAGTGACAGGGTTGGGTGTGTGTTCTTGTTCTTGGGGACTGAATTAATTTCTGTGAGAGTGTGCTATATTATTTTGTCTCTTCCTCTTTTGTCTGCATCTGCTTGTCTTCTGCCATGAGGCCCTCACCAGCTAAGCAGAGACTGGTGCCATGCTCTGGGCCTCCAGAACTCTGAGCCAAAAGAGATTTCTCCCTTCATAAGCTGTGGAGTCTCAGATATTTTGTTATACTAAGAGTAAACAGAATAATAAGATGGAGTTTCACAAAGCCTGCCAACCAGCCACTACAATCTTCCTTGCCCAAACAGGCCAACCATTGTCTCACCAAAAAATAATGTAAGAACTGATATCAAGGTGTCCTACTTTACTTTCTTTTAGAGAAGGTGCAAAGAGTCTGCCTGTGGCATGTGACCTTCTTTATTTGAATAGCACTAGGCACAGCACATGCAAGCAGATATTGAAACTGCAGGGTCTGGGTTCAAATCTGGATGGTATTTTCTAGCTATTTGACTGGATCATCATTTAACTTAAGGTGCCGTTCCACCATGAGGAAAGTAATGCTTATCTAACAAGCTAATTCAAGCAAAGCTCTACGACAGTACTGGAACCTAGCAGGCCATGTTAGCTACCATTTTATTATTTGCTTAAATATGTCAAGGTAGCTCTAGAAAAAAATAACAGAATTCCGAGTCCTCATTATACTTGTTTTGTGGAGCAGGGTCTCAATTTACCACTCTGACTAGCCTGGAACTATGTAGACCAGGCTGGCTTCAAATTCAAACACCCATCTGCCTCTGCCTCTGCCTTCCTAGTGCTGGGATTAAGGCTTGTATAACCATGGCTTGCCTCTCTGCTATTTTTTGTTTGCTTGGTTTTGGTTTCTTGAGACAAGGTTCCTCTGTGTAGCCCTGGCTGTCCTAAAACTCACCCAGTAGACCAGGCTTGGCCTTGAACTCAGAGACCCACCTGCCTCTGCCTCCTAAGTGCTGGGACTTGAACTACCATGCCTGTCTGTCTCTGCTATTCTATGCTTTTGAGTTTTTTTTCAAGACAAGGTTTCTCTGTGTAGCCCTGGCTGTCCTGGAACTCACTCTGTAGACCAGAATGGTTTCGAACTCAAGAGATCCACCTGCCTCTGTCTTCCGAGTGCTGGGATTAAAGGCGTGCGCCACCACTGCCCAGCTTCTGCTATTCTTTAAGGGAGATTTAAAAGTTAAGAGTATTTCAGGACAGTAGTGGTGTGCACCTTAAATACCAGTACACAGGAGGCAGAGGCAGGCAGATCTCTAAGTTCAAGGCCATCTAGGTCTACAGAGTAAGTTCCAGGACACCTGAAGCTACACAGAGAAACCCTGTGTTGAACACAACAACAAGTACAGTGTATGTAGCTGTGCTAAGGGGAATTGGGGGAGGGACTGATCACTATCCAAGTCATATCTTCTTGTGGGTAAGGAAAAAATGCCCAGTGGTGAAGACAAGGCCTCACAGGGGTCAGGGGTAAAACTTGAGTTATGTCAGGCAGTGGTGGCACATGCCTTTAATCCCAGCACTTGGGAGGCAGAGGCAGGTGGATTTCTGAGTTTGAGGCCAGCCTGGTCTACAGAGTGAGTTCCAGAACAGCCAAGGCTACATAGAGAAACCCTGTCTCGAAAAACAAAACAAAACAAAACAAAACAAAACAAAAAAGCAAGCAAACAAACAAAAAATTGAGTTATGAACCCCTTTACCTGAAAATGGCCCTATTCCCAGGATGCCAAAGCCATATAGTAGTTGGTGGTGGTTTCTAGACTTGCTTCCTAGTCCAAACTAGGTGCTAAGGAAATGTAGTTGAACTGAATAAAAAGACACATTTTGGTAAATGAATGGAGTTTGGATAGCTATGGTTTGTTTGTGTGGGTATGCCAGGTAGAAGGATTATGGTGGGGACCTTTGGAAGAGGCAGCAGAGAACTCGATCAAGTCTGAGTGGGTCCCGCCAGGGTATCTCCCTAAGACTTTGCCTCATCCTCAAATCTGGAGATTCTGGCTTTCAATAACTGACATACACCCTGCATAATGTAGAGTTATTTTATTAAAGAAGAAGAAGGAGAAGGAGGAGGAGGAGGAGGAGGAGGAGGAAAAGAAGAGCCAAACAACAAAAAGCCCAAAACAGGAATTCTTGGTTCTGGGTGACTGGGAGCAGCTTAGGTGTGTAGGGAAAGTAGAACCTAGAAGACCGTAGGGGACCTGGTAGCTACTGTAGGTAGCCCTGGGAAGAACAAAAGCCCAGGTGCTGACCAGAAGCACACCATTTCCCCAGGACTTAGTCCCTCCCTGGGGCTTGTGGTCATCCACTTCACACAGGTGGGGGGTCAGCACCCGCAAATGACAGGTGGGGTGCTCAGTCCCCAGAAAAAGGCAGGGTAGGCAGTACTAGAATGCCCCTGGATTCTTGTCAAAGTCACCAACTAGTTGGGAAGGAGTGGGTGGCCCATCAATGCCATCCCAGAAAGTAGGGGTCAGGTGACACTAGGGTGGCAGGCTCAGATGCAGACGCACCTCCATTTGGACATAGGGCTCAAGCCCGTGGGGAATAAAAGGACCTTAACGGAGCAAGACCTGAGTTCCCGGAGGCAGGTGGAACTCAGGTACCCTGGGGGATACGAGGCAGTGCTCGGATAGGCCGTGGGGGAGGATTATCCAGGACCGGTTCTGGCCTGGACCGCACACCACCGCGGCGTTTTTGCTTCCTCAACAGATAGTTTGAGTACTGCACCTCGGGCATAGCAAGCTTGAGGCAAGCCTCCGTAGTAGGGCCAGCACCGCCGCTAGGCAGATCATAGCCCATGATGTCCACTTTGCGGCTAGGCTGCCACGGCTGTAGCTGCTTTGTGCGAATCTGGGCAGCAGGTCGCAGCACTGGCTCGTTGCCAAAGCAACGACGCAGCAGACGCTGGCGGGCCTCGCGCAGCTCGCGCGCTTCGCGCTCCACGCATGCGCGGCCTGCACGCGCCACGCGGCGCCAGAAGGTGGCGTTGAAGTGGTCGTAGAGGCCGGCATCGAGCGCGTTCCAGGTGCGCGCGGCCCGCGCCAGCGCCTCGGGGATGGTGGCCAGGCGCGATGTGGCGGCGCGCGCGTTGAGCTTGGCGTAGAGGACGTCATCTAGGTCCCAGGCCAGTAGACGCCGCAGCAGCACGAGTGACTCGTCGAAGTACTCTGCTATCATGACAAGCGAGAAGACCTCCTCCACCTGGCGTATGAGGCCCGCTAAGTAGGCTGCATCATCTCGAGGACTGCGCTCATTGTCGCCTCCCAGGTCGTAGGCCAGTGTATTGTGGGCAAACATGGCAAAGTGCTCGCCTGGACGGTAGTAGGCCTCGGGTGCGCGCAGGAAAGTCTCTAGCGACGCATTGGGCACGCGCCTGAAGGCCGGGCAATACTGGTTGTAGTAGCTGAAAAGGGACTCGAACATGGCGGCAGGTTCGCGCAGGATGGTGACATAGATCGTGTCTGGAGGCATGAGGCGCTCGAGTTCTGCACGGTCGAAGCGCAGATGGCTGGCCAGCATGTGCGGGGGCCTCGTGGCTGGGTGCACGAAGTGTGCCGAGAAGTTTCGCGGGTAGCAGAACTGATGCTCGCAGCTAGGGTGAGGCAGGGCCACAGTGAGGTTGTGGCGTTCTGCGAAGCGGAACAGGATGTTCTGCACAGTAGTACCTGCTGTTTTGTGAGTCTTCAGGAAGGCCACAGCCATGTGCTTGGCACGGGGTGGCGATTCTCTCAGAGGCGGGCAGCTCAGAGGGAACAACTTGGGGTACCTGCAAAGCCCAGGGTGTGTTGAGAAGAGTAAATGCAAGGACACAGCTTGAGTTTGGGTGACAAATGTGGTCAGTGTGCAACAGTGGATCAGCCTGGTCTTTACTCATGATTGGACCAGGTGCTAGGTAGCCTATTAGATGGGTTCTACAGAGGCAGGAAAGATTGCTCATTGTTAAGAATACTGGCTGCCCTTCATGAGGACCCAGGTTCATTTCCCCAGGTCCCACATGGCCACAATTGTATGTAACACCAATTGCAGAGGATCCAATTCCCTCGCCTCAGATGGCACTGCATGCCATACCACTCATACCACCCATACACATACAAATAAGAGGCTGTGGGGGGTAGGGGTGGGGGAGGGAGGCATGGGAGGCAGAGCTAGGTGGATCAAGGTGAGTTTGAGATCAGCCTGGTTTCCAGAATGAGTTCCAGGCCAGCCAGAACACAATGAAACCCTGTTTAAAAGGGGTTGAGGGAGTGGGGAGATGAGCCCGGATACCCATGCTGACCTCCTGGAGGCAGGTACACCGTCATATGTTCTCTTCCCATTGAGTGGGGCTAGACTCACGGGTACGTCCTATGCGACAGAGTAAGGTAGAAATGAGGTATCATCTCTGACTTTATAGTGGGGAAGCATTGCTGATTTTTCTCTCACTCTCCAGGATAATTTATATTTGAAGGAAGCAGTCCCAAAGAAACTGAGAATAGAGTCCCATCAGCCTGCTTGAAGAACTGAAGAGTGTGAATTACTTGAACTTTTCCAGATCCCTTTTAGTCCTTCAGAAAAGACCGTACATCTGTCAGACACCTTGACTGAAAACCTGCAAGAAACCTGGAATCAGGAGCTCTCAGCTGCATTTGGATTTGTGATTCACAGACATTCGGAAAGAGAATAAATGTTTGTTGTTTTCAGCAGCTAAGTTTTGGGGACTTTGTTTTGTAATTTTTACTTATTTACTGTGTGTATGTGCAGGTGCCCATGTGCCATGGCAAGAGGCGGCGATCAGAGGACGCCTTGTTAGAATTGGTTTTTCTACCTTGTTGAGGCTAAGACTCTCCTGTTTCTGTCCCTGTTGGACTGTGCCCTTCTGACTGATTCTCTTGTCTCCACCTCTCGTTTCTCCTCAAGTGTTTTGGGATTGAGAGCTGGAGAGACGGCTCAGCGGTTGGGAGCACTGACTGCCCTTCCCGAGCATCCAGGTTTAATATTCAACATCCACATGGTGGCTCACACCTGTCTGTAACTCCAGGTCTTCTGAGACCTTCACACAGACATATATGCAGGGAAAACACTACTGAACATAAAATAAAAACAAATTATAGATTTAAAAAAGTTCTGGGATTAGCTAAGAGGTGGTAGCTCACGCTTTCACCCCAGCATTCTAGAGACAGAGGCAAGAGGATTTCTGAGTTCAAGGCCATCTTGGTATGCAGTGTATATACATAATGAGTTCCAGGACAGTCAGGGCTACATAAGTGATACTTTGTCTTAGAGGAGGAAAAGGAATTCTGGGGTTAAAATGTGAGTCATCATACCTGGCCCTTCCATGGCCTCTGGCTGGAGCTCCAGTCCAGGCTGGCTTCAAAAGTCCTATGACCTGTTGCCAATACTTTTTCTTTTAAAGCAGAGCTACTCTGTAACCCAGAAAAGCCTTCAGTGTCTGTGCTGCTGGTTTTGAAGTCTGTGCTCTTCCTGTCTCAGCCTTCTGAGTCCTAGGCTTATAGGGATGCATCACCAATACCTGGCTTCTCTGTTAAGTTTTAAGGTAATTTTTTTTTAGGCAGTGTCTCACTACTTAGCTCTAGCTGTCTTGGAGCTTGCTGTGTAGACCAGACTGGCCTTGAATTTAAAGAGATCTGCCTGTCTCAGCCTCCCTAGCACTGAGATTAAAAGTACCGAACTATGCCTGGCTCTGTCTAAGGTAATTTTCTTTTTTAAGACAGGGTTGCCGGGCAGTGGTGGCACACACCTTTAATCCCAGCACTTGGGAGGCAGAGGCAGGCAGATTTCTGAGTTCAAGGCCAGCCTGGTCTACAGAGTGAGTTCCAGGACAGCCAGGGGTATACAGAGAAACCCTGTCTCAAAAAACAAAAACAAAAAAAGATGGTCTCTGTTTGTAGCCCTGGCTGTCCTAGAGCTTGATCTGTAGATCAGGCTGGCTTCAAACTCAAGAGATCTGCCTGCTTCTGTCTTCCAAATGCTAGGATTAGAGGTGTGCATTACCACTGCCTGTCCTAAGGTAATTTTTAAATGCAGAAATAGTCTAAAGGACAATGGCCCTTCGAGATCCTTGAGGGATCTTACTTTAAATGTTTAGAAACTGAGGATCTGAGAAGAATCTGGAGCCAACTCAGTCACTACGTCTTGACTATGTCTTTTTTCTCACATCTGCCCTTAACTAGTTCATCACTCTTTTGGGGGGTGGGGCGGGGTAACAGACTTTGCACCAACACATTTATTGTGTTTGTTATATGTTTCTATTAAGGCCTTTGGAGATCCACTCACTTATGTATGTATACATTTCTGGAGCTTTTGCTTTGTGCTAGGTATTGTTCACTTCTGTTCCTAGATCCTGAAACAAGGAAGTTTGGGATTACTGGTCAGCTATCAGATCTGGACAGTCTTTGAATCACACCTGATTCTTCTGTCCTAAGCATTATGTGATAAGAGCAGCTTGAGAGCCCCACAGGGATTTCCTGTGTGTAGCTGGTTTGGGCTCAGGATAATGTCTATACGGGGTTAGGATTAGGGTTATTTATAAAACTAGCAAATCACTCTGAAGTGTATGTGAAATATTGGGGAAATTGACACCTCAAAAGGTACAGGGATTTGGTGGGTTCACACACGGAATCAAGAACAGAGGCTAATTCTCATCACATGGTGTCCTGTGTCAGCATGGCCAGAGGGTCACACATTTTATAGATGAGGACGTGAGCTCAGAAATGAGGGACTGTGTCTCAAGTAGTGGTCTAGTAAGTTGTTTGCAGGGCTTAGGATTCAGCTCAGTTGGTAAAATGCTTGCCTAGGTTTGCTTTCTAGCATTTCAAAAACTGGTGTTTGTTATGGTGGTGCACACCTAAGACCCTAGCACTCGGGAGGCAAGGGAGGATCAGGAGCATGAGGACAGGCAGGTGTAGTAGTGCTGGCCTTTAAACTCAACATTAGAGAAGCAGAGGCAATTGCTGTTTGAATTGCTGTCTAAATGGTTTCAGGAGGAGCCTTTTGGTTGCAAAAGAGAGCTTTAAAGGGGGGCTACAAAGTTGGTTGGTGGTAGGCAGAGGTGGAGGCAGAATGTAAATGTTGTAGGCCTTTAATCCCACCACTCTGGAAGCAGAGGTAGGCAGATCTCTGAGTATAAGGCTAGTCTAGTCTACAGAGTAAGTTCCAGGACATACAGAGGGATATACAGAAAAACCATGAAAAGACAAACAGTGGATGGAGTAGGGACTACAAAATGAGACCCTGTCTTCAAAAAACAAAACAAAACAAAACAAAACAAAAAAAACCCAAGACGATGTTTGCAACTCATTAAGGAAGCATTCAGCTGTGATACTGTAGCAAAGACTCTGGCTAGATGCAGATCTTGGGGAACTGACTCATTCTGTGACTGATCAGTGTACTCAGTCTTGCCCTTGGAGTCCTATCTTTGCTACTGTTATAAATCATAAGGTAGATATGTGTTTCCCAAAGGGTTGCAACCCACTGGCTGAGACCCTCTGCTCTAGAACCAACAAGCAAAGACAGGTTCTCAGCTAATGGGTCGCAACCCTTTGGGAAACACATATCTATGTTATGATTTATAACAGTAGCAAAATAGTTATAAAGTAGCAATGAAACTTTTAAGGTTGGGGAACTGTATTCAAGGGTTTCAGCATTAGGAAGGCTGAGAACCATTGCTTTAGAGGATGAAAAGTACTTGTGGATTACAGGAACAGAGGGAAGCCCAAAGAAGCCTTTTGATTGCTTTGGACTACAGTACCTCCTATGGGGCCATACCCCTTCATTCACTAAGGTTCACCACTTACCAACTGAGCTGCGCCCCCTGGTGGATGAGGAGACTTACGGTGCTGCACCCTAACACCAACAGCAGAATTTTCCTGCGGCTCATCATCTTGGTGGATTGCTGCAGCCGCTGGAGGATAGGTAGCATGGAGGAGGGCTCACTCCTGGACAGGCCAGGGCCTCACTATCCCGGGCTTCCTTCACCAACACTCATGGGGGGTCCTGGGGCTCTGGTAGCAGGGCCAGTGTTCCCGAAAAGCCTAGCAGAACAAGGAAACAGACAGGTTTGCAGTGGCCAGAGGAGAAAGACTCCAGGCTTAACCGAACTGCTGCGAAGGAAAGATTAAACGAGTGGGGTGAGCAGAGATGCCAAAGCAGATCGAGTTCCATCTCCTACCCTCAAGACCCTATCTCCTCACTGTCCAGGTGACCTAGCCTTGGGTGGAATTACAGGTCTGGGATGTGTCCAGCATTCAGACTATAGCCATTCTGTTTCTTGAGCCCTGTGTGTTTACCTCTCTGACTGTATCTAACTTGTCTTTGTCTCATAGCCATTGAGTCTAGCTCTGCAGTAGTCTTCCCTCAGTACTAGCATGTGGCTCAGGACACAGAAGTCCTAGTCCAAGATTTTCTCTCTTCCAGGGTTCGTTATCTGACTATCTGAGCCAAGGGGTGGTTCTGAGTCCTCTGAGAATAAACTCCTCAGAAACAGCCAAGCCCTCACCTCCTTCGGCCTCCAGTTAGTGCTACAGGTCTAATATATATTATTACTAACTCTGGACACCACAGGTATTTCCCACTAAGCAGATGGTGACAATGAGGTGCTGGGTGGTGACAGGTCACTTATTCATAGTCACACAGCCAGTTAGAGCAGACTGGTGACTCAGATCTATTTACTTAAAAAATAAATTAATCTCACTGTAATAGACCTGACTAGCCTTAAACTTGCTATGTAGTCCAGGATGACCTCAAACTCAGAGATCCACCTGCTTCTGCCTCCTACATGCTGAGATTAAAGGTGTGTGCCCCGACATCTGGCCAAATCTGTTCTTCTTTAACTTCTTCAAAGTCCTTGTTCTTAGACTTTATGTGAGCTGCTCCCATTCAAAACTGATTTTTCAAGCTAGAGAGATGGCTCAGTACTTAAGAGCACCGGTCATTCTTTCAGAGAATCCAGGTTTGCCTCTTAACACCCACCCACATGATGGCTCACAACTTGCTGTAACTCCAGTTCCAGAGGATCTGATACCCTCCCCTTGGCCTCTGCAGGTACAAGGTAGGCACACAATGCACAGATATACATGTAGGCAAAACACTCACAGGTTGTAAAATAATTTCAGAAAACTTTATCTTTCCATCACTGGCTGGTCTGGTAATTTTGCATACTTCTGAGCATTGGGCCCTTAAGGCAATGATACAAGCTGGCTTGTGCCATTGCCTTAAGGGCCTGGGACTAAATCTACCAAGGAAAGAAGTACTTGAAACCTTGGATCCCATCCCCAGATACCTAAAAAGCAGCTAGCTTCATCAGCTGACTGTACAGGTGCTTGGCCAAGGCAATGGGATAACAGCTTAGGAGGGATGGGCAGGGGTGGCTCCAGCTTGCTCTGCTGAGAATTCCCAGCAGGAGCCTTCTAGGTAAGATGAGGGAGGCAAGAGAAGGCCTTGATTTCTAGCCAGGCTTTCTTTGCTGGCAGTTCAGGTGGAAAAGTTAGCTTCAGCTGCCATGCCTGCCCCCAGGCTAGGGTGGATCTGTCTTACTCCTGCTGTGTATGTGAAGGTTTGGACTCAGCCTCTGAAGGGAAGAGGGTTTGCAACCTTAGGAGAATATGCACGGGTATGGAACTAGGACACCTGGTCCCAGGAGGGATGAGGTAGCTCTGTGGCTCTGGGCTTGGCTTCCCATTTCTTTCTCTCTCTCTCTCTCTCTCTCTCTCTCTCTCTCTCTCTCTCTCTCTCTCTCTTTCTCTCTCTCTCTCTCTCTCTCTCTTTCTTTTTTGCCCCTTCCCCTGTTAATGCCAGATTACATTTAAACATGTTTAGGTGGAAAGATGTCTTGTTTACAGCTCCCTTATCTCCAGGTCACATCTGGTTTCGTCCACCAGCCAGTGAGACATCATTATTTTGGAGCCCATAGAGCAAAGGGTCTGGCCTTAGAGGGCAACCAAGGACACAGCAGAGGCAGCCTAGGTCCTCCCCAATTTGGGTGATTTCTGAGGCAGAACATTGGTCTCCAGCAGGAGGAAGTCAAGGTCTCAGCCCTTTTAGGACACAAAGTTTCTATCACAAGTTCTACTTGGAGAACTTGGTGACCAGATGGTTTCCCAAGAGAAAATTAGAGGACAAGTCTATTTCTACCTCTTAAACTTGCTGAAACCGCCTTATTTCTCAGAGGAATCTGACCCAGGCACGGAGGCCAAGTGTAAGGGTAGCTACAGTGCATCTTTTCCTGGCCTCAGAGAATGAGGTTGCTGTCTTGGTACCCCATCTATTCTACTAACAGCTTTATCCATTGCCTCCAAGGCTTGGATCTGGGGAGCCAGCCTGATTGCTAAGGTCTGCAAAGGGAACAGGCTTTGATCACTATGGGAATTCCCTAGGTACCAGTCTCCAGGCTGGGAACACCAGGGATTTTGGCTTCTGGCAATGATAGACTGCTTATTCCCTCTAGATATAACCTAGTTAATTCTTGCCTATAGTTCCAGGGACTGTTCTGGGACTGTGAGGACTAGTCACCCTACCTCGTGACACATTCCTGGGCTTCCCTTGCCCTTGTTTCTTATTCTGTGCTGTAGCTATGTCACTCTTCAGAGCACAGGGCAGATTTTTTTTCTCCATGACAGAGATTCAGGTATTTGAAAGCAAGACCTGTGTATCCTGTATGTGGGCATTCAGCCAGAGAAACCATCCCAGGTCCAGATAGAGAGTAGCACTTGGCTACTAGAATAGACAGGCCTGCATTCCCTGGGTCAGGCCATGCCTGTTGTAGGGAAGGGCTTAGAAGTAAGGGCCTGGGGGAGTTCCCTGGGCTGGGTTTCCCTCTGGTCTTGAAGCTGAAGCAAACTGGTGGTCATGCTGCGGGTGGGCACGCTGCCCACAGAGGCTTCACACATCCCTCCATCTCCAGCGTCTTGTCTTTGGAGAGAAAGAGGTCTCCTCACCATACCCAGGTTAGGGTGCCAGCCTTATCAGAATAGCAGTGCTAATTTTAGTCAGAATAATCAACCTCAGGCTGCTGCCCAGTTTTGTAAATTGCTTTCTTTTCTCCAGGGTACCAAAGAAGAAATGGTATTGCCAGCCAGAGATTTGAAAACTAACCCAGATGTCCACCCTACTCCCAAAAGATCTCTTCCTCTCTTTCCCCACAGGGCTGATACTGATGCCCTTGGAGTAGTGGATCTCAGGCCTGACCACTCCTCTCAGTGATGTGGAGACTTAAGCTGTCTTGGGGCACGGCATATCTCAGGTCACACAGGTCCCCAAACAGAAGAGGGCAGAGAGGGTAGGTAGCACAATAGAGCCTAGGAAATCGACTCTCTTTCCATCCCTTCTCCCCTCTGCCTCTGGTTTCCCGAGTCTCCTCACTCTGTCATCCCGCCCCCTACAAGCTTTCATCCCTGCCTCTAAATTCTCTTCATTCTCCTTTATCCATCACTACCCTACCCCCACCGCGCCCCACATTCCCTCAATTTCATTCCGATCTCTTCCAGAGATCTGGTCACTATAGGGAATAGGCCAGATGCAACCTCTTCCAAGCTTTCTCTGGGTACGGAGCCACCCCCTCAAGCTCTCTTGGCACAAGGCCCCCAAGATATTCTTCTGCAACTGCTCAGGCCCCCATCCTCTTTGCGGTGCACCCTTGTTCCCTCCAGCCCCTGGCTGGCTACTGCAGTACTCACGCAGGCAGGCTCGGTCTCCGACTTGGGTGAGGGCTACCTTCCGCTCCCCCTGGGCCCCTTGTCCTGAAATCTGCTAGGTCTGAGGGTAACGGGGGCTCTGAACACAGAATGCCGGTAGCTTGCCTTGCTGCGCCTGGATGGGATCAGGTGGCAGCGTCTGAGTCTGTCCGCTCTGCTCAGCTCTGCTCTACCCGCCGCCCGTCCCCCATCTCACACCGGGGGCGGGGCGGGGGCGGGGGCCTGGCGGCTGAGAGGAGGGGGGAAAAGGAAAAGCTGCAAGAGGAGGGGGATTGCGTAGCATGCCTGCTGCTGGTGAGCGTTCTCCTGTGGTATTGGCATCTTTAGATACAGGCATCTTTCCCTTGCAATCTTGTAGAAATTTGAGCTCAACACCACTGTGCTCAGCACACTTCTGTCCATCAGAAGCGAAAACGGACGAATGACTGGGTCCTGTTGCTCACTGGAGCTTCTTGAGGTTGGGTTAGAGGTTCAGGTGCATTTGTAGTCTCCTATATTCCCTCTCTCTCCCCCCCTACTTCCCACTTCTACTAGCCCTGCATGGCCCCCTTCCCTTCTAGTTTGTCCTCCAGCTCTCCTGAGGCAGCACCTAGTAATTCACCCACACCTGGCCAGGACTCCAGAGTTCTCACTTCTGACCAGATCTGTTGTTGTTGGACTGGGGTCTCTGCCAAGGCACCTTGCACTCAGAACCAGAAACTCCAGTTCTGCTTTTACTCCATCTTGGAGTCAAGAGGAAACTTCCTGAGTCCTGTCACTTCCCAGCACTGAAATGGGCAGTTGTTTCCTTGTAACAGCTCTAATTGAAAGAGCTCCTGGTGGATGTCTAATAGTGCTCCCCTCCCCCAAGCCACATTAGACGCCATGAGACCACAGTTGATTCTAGGGCTGGCATGGACTGTTGTCCCCTTTATTCTGGGCAAGGAAAGGATCTTCAGGTAGGTTAACCACCCAAAGCTGGGACTTACAGAGGCTGCACTGGTCCCTTCTAGTCTTACATAGCCAATCAGTGGGCATCACGTAAGGATCCTGACCTCAGAGGCAGGGGCATACGGGCATGTCAGCTTCTGTTTTCTCTCAGTCTTTCCGTTTGCACAGTTTGGTGTCCTGTTTTCATCCCAGAACAATCATGAAAACAAATCAGATGCTGTTTAGTGTGTCCTTTTCTGGCCCTAGTTATATTACTGACCCATCTGCTCTGTTATCTTGCCTTAGGGACCCTGCCCTTCTC